GAGACTGACTGGCCTATAGTTGCCCGGGTCCTCCTTCCTCCCCTTCTTGAAATTGGGGACCACAGTGGCCCTTTTCCAGTCCTCCGGGACCTGGCCTGTGTGCCACGAGTGTTCAAATATTCCTGCCAGTGGCTCTGTAATGATGTCGGCCAGTGCCTTCAGCACCCTCGGATGGAGCTCATCCGGGCCTGCCAGCTTAAAGGCATCCAGTTCTTCCAAGTGACCATCTCAGGGTCTACGCATGGTAGTCTGGCGCCTTGCTGCTGCCTCTCTACAACCCCAGTGAGAGACTTGTCCTGCCCCTCACTTAGGAACACTGAGGCAAAGAACTCGTTGAGGAGTTCAGCCTTGTCCCCTCTGTCCGTCACCAATTGTTTCTGCCCATTTAGCAGGGGTCCTATTCCTCCCTGGGCCTTCCTTTTACTCCCAATATATCCAAAAAACAATTTCTTGTTGTCTTTTACTTGGGTTGCCATCCTCAGCTCCATGGTAGCTTTGGCCCGTCTAACTGCCTCCCTACAAGCACGAGCAGAGGAGGTATATTCATCTTTGGTGATCTCTCCCTGTTTCCACTTTTTATGTGCTCCCCTTTTGTCCCTTAGGCTGCCCTGGATTTCTCTGGTCAGCCAGGGAAGCCTCCTGGCCCCTTTCCCCCTTTTGCCTCGCTCAGGGATCGTCTTGCTTTGTGCCTGAAGGATCATTTCCTTAAGGCACAGCCACCCTTCTTGGGCTCCCATCACTTCAAAACTCCTACTCTGCAGTGCGTCCTTGACTAATCGCCTGAGTTCATTGAAATCAGCTTTCCTAAAGTCTAGCACTTTCACCCTACTAGTTACCTTACCCACTCGACGTGGGTATATGACATGATATATAAATTATGTCATGTCCTAAGCCAGATCTAACTGGTATAAAACCACTGAAACTCTAAGTGACCTTTAGCTGCCTTCTGACCTTTTTCTCTCACACCTTATAAACTTCTCTCACTTACGATATTTCTCACATGGTTAATAATATTCTTTGTTTCATCCTCTCTTACCCAAACTCTGCAAGCAAATGCTATACTATATCGCTGTTAAGCAGCTCAAAGCCTACTACAGCTGAAAAACAGAAAGAGAAGGTAGGATAGTTTTTTAAAATACAAGGATTATGGTACTGACAAGTTAAACTATATCAAATCATGGTGAATAAAATACAACTAAAAACTTATCTCTGTCATAACAAATACTGACTACACAGACCAGCCAAGCACATTAGTGAAACAATTTAAACAAAGATCTACATATACAGTTATGAACCTACATGCTTAGAAAGGTCTAACTCAGGAAAATATCCTTTTTAGAACTGCCCCAAAACATTTTAAAATGTATTATGGATAAAGAATCTGAGTAGTCATTACTGATGGAAAAACTACAGTTTCCTCTAACAGGATATTGGATTATAACTACCAAATAAAGAAAGTACTTCAAAAAGTTTAACTGGCATCTGTGACAGTATAAAAATCCTTGCTGTTCCCTAATGCAGAAAGGAAATCTGGACAGAGAGAGAGAAAGAGGCTATGGAAGTCCTTTGAATATTTTGCACTACTGTAGCCAAAACAAAGTATGGAACCTGGCAAGATCTTATAGTTCCTGTTATATCTTTTAAGGCTCTGGACAATATAATTGTTTTTCATAATTCCCCAAAGTAACAGAAGACTTAAAATTCAGCTGTTATATTATACAGTCTCTTACAAATTTCACCAATCCTGAAGTAAAAAGACAGTAGTGGCTAAAGACTAGCACTTAAGAAATAAAATACTGCCTTTCAATTAATTGCTTTTCATTACTTTATTATTCTGGACTGTGAACTGCAACAGAGGCCATGGACAGGCATTAGATTTGGATCAGGAAAAATGCCTTCCTTCTGGCACAAAAAGCCAGCATATAACCATCTAAGTGTTTTTGTGCAGAAGATAACAGGCTCTTGTGGTTTGAACCATCCCAGGACTCTGGGAAGGATCCAGCCATGGGCATCATCTTCCCCCTACTAGGCAGGCAACAGGGGTGACCTGGATTTGTGCACAGGATGGAGGGCATTTCCCCACAGCTCAACCCATCCCGGGGACTACTACAGGTCAAGCTGTGCTGCCTACTACCCCTCACATAGACTGGGTTTACCCTATTCTGTGAGAGGCTGAGGGGTTTTTTCCACAACCTGAACTGACCCAGGGAGAAATCCACAGCGACTGCCTCCATACACAGAACCAGGTCTGTGCATAGGGCAAGCAGCAGAGGCACTGTGGCTGCAACCCTTCTGGAGCTCCTGTCATGGTGAAATGCCCCCAGCCCTGGCACAGATGGTGGTCACCCTAGCTATACAAGAGTGGGAGGTGGGGGCATTCCTCTGCAGCTCGCCCCATACTGGGACACCTGGGATAGGTCAAGTTATGCTGCCTCTTCCAGCTACTCTGTTTTGCAGGGGAGTCTGCAAGCTACTTATAACGGGGCTCCCTCAAGAAGGGGGACCCAAGGAGCTGTCCTCTAGCCCTCCTGCCTGAACAGCTGTGTGACTCTCCACCCAGGGAGCTGGAATGCCTGTATAAATACCAACCCCACAGTTTCACAGTTGGCAGAAATCCAACCTCAATTATTTCACAATGCATTCTATTAATTTCCTAATGAAATGCCCATTGTGAAAACATTTGCCTGCTTCTTCCTCTGCTACTATATTATCAGTATGCTCTGGACTTTTAATGATATCCTTCAGACAATATTTTCATTTAAACCATTCATCTCCCACTGTCTATTGCAGTATTTTGACAATGTGGCCTGACAAGTAGAATTTCTGCTCTAGAAAAGATATGTATTACATTCAGTAATTTAATTTGTTTTAAGTTGTCATGCTTTGATTTTCAAAATTTATCTAACATTCCTCCAGGACTTTTGTTCCTTTTCCAAGTTCCTACTTGTAGCTTGGTTCACTGAAATCATACATGACATAAGATTTTCAATTTCATTCTGAGAAAAAAAAAAATGACAGGCAGGTTTTCAAAGCCTCCAAAGCCATAGAACCCTATTTGTGCCCGTTACCCTTGAACCAAATCACTTAAACCTTGCTACAAAGGGGGCCACAATTGGCTGAGTCTCTGCAGATTGCAGAAATTAAATATTCCCAAACTTGATTCTTCAATTTTGCACTTGTTTTACTTATTCACACATCTTTTAAAAGCAAATAAACAAGTCACTGAGAAAAAAGGATCCTGGTTTTCTCCATTTAAAAATGGCAAATTCATATATATATAGCCAAAGACTATATACATGTATGTATGTATCAATTGAGCACAGTGTTTTATTGATATTTACAATTTTAAAGCAATATGGAAGCCTACCAATGCCTCAATTATTAAAATAAAATAAATTCTAAATACCTATAAATTTTGGTATTTGATTTTGGGTTTTTATCATGAAAAATCAGAGCTCCCCCTACCCGCTTCGCTCACCAGATCATAGGTCCAGGCCCCTCAACCCCAAGCCACAGCCTCCCAGCCCTGCAGGTACAACTCATTCCCCAACCTCTGCCCCCTGCCGGTGCCCTGCACTCCCCACCCACAGCCCTGTCCTCCCTCCACCCCAGCCCTGCCAGGGACCCGGGTCCAGAGTCCCCTGTACCCCGCAGCAGAGTCCAAGCCCCGGCTGCCACCCATGGCCCTGAGTGGGAAGCACAGTATAGAGCCCAGCTTCTCCTCCCCTAAAGGCGGCACAGCTGGAGCAGAGCCCATGGGGGAGGGCGGGGGGAAGGCTGCCCGCTGCAGGCTTGGGGCTCCCTGTCCTGCTGCCTCCACAGCCCAGCAGGCAAGACCTGGTATGGCACAGCAAAGCAGGACTGGGCAAGGAAGCTCCTTGCCTCTGTGAGCCCCACACCACTCTGGCAAGGCACCCCTGCCCACCTGGCAGCAGCGAGGGGCAGAACTCCGCACTGCCAGAGGGTCAGTCTAACTCATGGCACTTTCTGTGAAGCACCACGAGTTAGACCAGGGAGTTACACATCTGTCAGCACCCTTAAACTGGTCTTGTGCGAACAGTGTGGATTGTTTTCTCCCATAATGACAAACAGGCTAACAACCTGGGATGCTTTTTATATTAGGCAGAGGAAAAGGTAGGAGAGATTATTCCTTCTCTGCTACCCTCCTTCTTTTGAAACAAAATAGCAATTTTCTTATATATAAGACACCCCCAAATGAAATACACACCTTGTTTTCGGAAAAATTATTTTTCCAGAATCACAGCTGACCGTATGGCAAAGTAAATCCTCCTGGGAACACAGAGCATCAAGGAAGTGTGACACCCATAAGTTCCTGGTGCAAGTTGCCTCATCCAAGCTATCTTCTCAGATGCCACACTTCCTGGATAGTCTAAGTTTCCAGGAGGACAACTTATTGTAGGTCACACAAGGTTAGGCTCTAGCCCCTTGCAAAGACAGTAGAAAGACTGTTAGCTTTCCTATAAGTAGTTCTTTATATAAGTTCCTATAAATAAAGTGTTGTTTCCACATAGCAAGCCTCATAAAGATACTACTAACAGCTCACCTGCTGCTTCAGGCACAAGCTACAAGGCTGAGAGAGGTTCAATGCACGACTTTGCAGTGTGCGTTTTAAGCAGAGAAGCTGCTTTCTTTGCTGGAGAAGCGGCACACCAGGAGACAGTGTATGTGTCATGCAGCTGCCAATATGGCAATGCTTGTGGGGGAGGGGAAGGTGTGCACTGTACATGAGAAAATCAGTACCTACCTGTGATCTCCCTGCCTGTATCATACCTGTTTTTTTCACATTGAAAACCTGTATTGCCTGTAGTGGGGTATGGGTGGAAGAAATTGCAACATGTAGCCCCCTCCCAGATATTTCCCACACAAGTACCTAAATTTATGAAAGCAAGGAATGACAATCCAAAAAAAGGCGGCAGATGAAAAACACTGCTTCCTCAAAAGGCCTGAACAAAGAACATTACTTTACCACTGCAGATTACCTCTTTTGGACACTGATTTTGGCAAGAAGTAAGGAGGTCCTTTTCTTTCAAGTCAGCACAAGTTATTTTTCTGTTAAAAAGAAAAAAAAAAAAAATGAATTTGTAACAAAAACTGAAACAAAAAATAAATAAAAAAACAAGTCTAATTATTTAATATTTTTTGCACTGTACACAGATATAGCTTCAGTTGCCACAGGTTTTATCCAACAGTAGCTTTCCCAACTAAGACTTATTTGAGAACAGTTTTTACTTTCTGCTACATAGCAATTTATAATGACCGCCATCTTCACTAGCATTAGCCCCAGGTAGATTGCACTGCTTCAGTAATGTAACGAGAAGTTTGCATGGGATATTTAACATATGCAATTCAGAACCTCCATGAGCAGGCATTTATTTTTCTTAATTCACTTCTGAAGCATAATGAAACTTCCCCTTATTCCTTTTTTTAGTCAAGTTTGGAAAGTTTTGTTTTAAAGGTTGTCTGGCATTCTTTTCCCCTATGGATTCATCTGCACCTCACAATGAACAAGGCATCTTGCATTTCAGATAAAAATTTGCTCAGGCCATTGATGTTGTTCTGTGGCACTTTTTTATCTTATTTTTTTTTAACCCATTTTGTTGTTTGGAACACCAGACTTTTACAAAGCATTTTATACTTACATAGAATTCATTCAAAGAGTTGAAGGCATTTAATGTCTATTACTGATGACAACCTTCACTGAATAGCTTTAGGCTCTTACAAAGGCAAAGTCCTCAATCACAAATTGCATTTTGCAAAGAAAACCCAAAGTTTGTTGTGACACTTGCAGCATATTCACCACAGTTGCCATACATGTACCCACAGGAGTTCAAGTAATTCGGTTTTTTGGTCACAAAAACCCTCTGATCACTACCAGCTTCTCTGCTCTCCCAAAGGAGAGCATGGATAAGAGGTGGAACTGTCCCATTCTAGAAAGACACATCCATCCCACAAAAGCTATACTCAGCTAGCGGATGTGGGACTTTCCCCATGCCAGCATGGGAACAAGCACGAGTGGCAGTGGGGTATTTACACCTGATCTCCCGCCCCACCTGCCTCTGCCCTGGGGTGGGTCATTCTAGTCCACAGCCAGAAAAGGTTGCCTACCTCTGATCTAGTCAATAGATTTTTTGATCCAAGAGATACTGAGATCATTTTGATAACTAAAGGCTTTATTGAATATGCATTAAAATTTATTAAAAGGCTTTTGGGAAAAAAACAGCATATGCTAGAGTCCAGAGGGTAATACACCACTGGTTTCCATCTCACTCACAGGCAGTAAAAAGAAACTGAGGGTAGGCTGCAGATGCCCCATTCTTCTTACCCTCTTATAGGAGCAGGAAGTGAAATGTGGTGTACATGCACCCCTGACAGACACTTCTAGTCACTCGGGTGCTCCCGTGGCATCCAAAAGGACATATACATTAAGAACCACAAATCACAAGATAATTTTGAACTTGCACATATGTTTGTGTTATTCTATTCTGGTTTGTACTACTAAAAATAGCATCTGACAAAGTAGGCTATCACTTACAAAAGTTCATGCCTCTTTGAACCAGTCAGTCTCCAAGGCATGTGCATCCTGAATGCCCTCTGCCTATATTCAAGAGTTAATATCCCCCCTTACACCGAGGTTTCCACAGATGTGATTAAACAGATAGTCTCTATTTGTACTGTGGAAACTTACTGGATGATGGTAATCTAAATACAACAGGTAAGAGAACTTTTACACAGACTGCAAGCATCAAGACTGGAGGGTAGGGACCCCCATAAATTGCACTGGAAGTGCCCCCCACAGCAGCTTCTTTAATCTTCCCATTTCACTGCTTGCTCCTACCTGCCCAGTTGGTGGAGGTTTTAAATATGTCACAGATTTTGCTTCCCCAGTGATCAGCAGGGCCCCTCCACCAATCAGGAGCAAGGAGGGAGGCAAGCAGCAAAATGAAAAATATTAAAAGGAACCACTGCAGGGGGCACTTCCAGCACAATTTATGGCAATCCGTACTGGGGGGAAGTGAGAGGAGAACGGGGGGAGGGAGAACAGAGCAAGAAAACAGTTTATCCCAGAGATTTCTATAGGAGAAAGATGCAAGTATTGAATAAAAAGACATGCTTCATATGTCAGTAGCTTACAGTCAGTGGGTTATTTGAGTTTTTTTCTTTTACTTCAAAGCTGCCTGTAATATTAGGTGAATACCTTTTTATCTCTTAAAAAAGAAAATCAAACTGGTGAATGGGAAGGCACAGAGCTACATTTCTCAAACATCTAAACCAGGGCTGTTCTCAGGGTGGACCTGGTCCCCAATGATGCCTGCAGGTCTCAGACTGGCCCCACACAGGATATAGGGTTGGTCTGTGGCCTGATCCAACCCAGAGACCGGACCCATATGTGTCATATAGCTCACAGGGCTAAATGAGCTTGGTACCCTTGACCTAAACCAGGGGCATGCACTTATTTTGGGTGGAGGGCTGCTTAACGAGTTCTGGCAAGCTGTCAAGGGCTGCAAGGGTAGTCCCACCCATTGACAGGTGCCCTGCCCTCAATCACCATCTTGGGACCAGAAGTCCCACCCCCTAACCCCTGACTTTTGCCACCAGAAGTCCCTCACCTTGCCCCCAGAAGTACTCCTTTTGGGAAGGGGGTTCACCATCTTGGCACTGGAAAAAAAAAAATTGTATACTAAAAATCAAACGTTAACAATAACATATTTTAATTTTATTTTGTCCTGATTTGTGTGTTTGTGTGGTGTATATAGAGGTGATTGCATAATAGCTCAAAAGGAAATCTTATTCTTGTATATTGTAGGGGAGTATGGAGGGGTGGGTATGGGGTTTGTGGGGGGCTCTGTGTGTGTGTGTGGAGGTGGGTGGATGGGTATGAAGGATTTGTGGGGGGAGTGTTTGTGGGAATGTGTGTGTATGGGTGGGTATGGGGTTTGTGGAGGGGGAGGGAGCTTTGGGTATGTAGCAGTGAGCAGAGCTCCCCCCAGAGGCACATGTGTGAGGGACAAGGGGGTGTGTGTAGAGGATGCTGTAAGTGGGTGCAGTGTTTGTGGGGTGTGTGATTGTGTGTGGGAGAGGGTGTGGTTGTGGGGCTTGTGGGAGAAGGTTTGCAGGTGTGGGGTGGGGGATGTGCATGGGACACCCCATGCAAACACCCCTGAACCGGTTAGCACCGGCACCCCGCCACAGCCCAGAGTCTGAGCACCCTTAAGCACCTCCTTGCCACCGCCAGCAGCGCACAGCCCCAGCGTGCCTCACAACTACTCCAGACTCACCCCCACCAGAGCAGATTATCTGGAACCGGCGCACGGCCCTGACCTGGCCCACCCCGTGTTGCCAATCCATGATGTGTCCTGCCACCCACTGGGCACGCAGTGAGGCTGGGGCAGCTCCACAGCTGGACTGACTTCCTAGGTAGCCCAGGCAGTGGTGGCTCCTTCCAGCTGCCACCAGCCACAGCCCCGCAGTATCAGTGGGGACCTGCACTGCACAGCCCCAACCCCGCACACCCCACACCTGCTCTGGGCCCAGAGGTGGCAGTAACACAGCATAGATGCATGGCAACCCTGTGTGGGCTCCGGGCAGATGTAATAGGAAGTGCCAGCAATGGGAGGGGGAGGGGCCACTTTTACCCTGTGCTGAGCAGCAGCTTCTGTCCCACGCTGCCATGCTGAGCCTAGGCGAGTGAACTCAAAGCAGGCGTGGGGCACACAGGGTCGGAGCTTTGCAGCGTGGGTCCCCACCAGTACCACAGGGCTGAGGCCAGTGGTGGCAGCAGCTGGAAGGAGCCTCCTGTCACCTGGGCTGCCTAGAAAAGCAGTGTGCCCTTTGCTGCATGCCCAGAGGTGGCAGGATGCCCCATGGCTGGATGGTGCCTGCGCCAGGGGACCAAAGGACCCCCTGCAGGTTGGACAAAGACCTGCTGTGGGCCAGATCCAGCCCACGGGCTGTATTTTGCCCAGCCCTGATCTAAACTAATGCTAAAAACACATACGCACGCAGAGCCAACTAAATACTTTCATAAAGAAAATTAAAAACTTAGCTAATAAAGGGGCAGTCACAGTCTGGTCTCCAACCATAGGCAGTACTGAAAGCATCAAAACTGGATATCTTTCTAAAAAGACATCCTGTTGCTCAACCAGAAGTTAACAGGCTTGATGCAGCACTTGCTGCAAGAGGTCTTATTACCTATGTTACACAGGAGGGTCAAACTAGATGACTGTATTTGTTCCTTGTGGTTCTAATGTCTTTGAAAAAGTTTCTACAAACCTCTATAATTACAATTCTGCAATATGTTCTAGTGGAACTTGACTGATTACAATTCAAAAGAGCCTAATTTTCTTTTACAGCTATTTTATCTGGTCCTCTTATTTAATGAAAAAGAAAGAAATAGAATTGGCATAGCAGGTACTATAATATTAGTACCAAATAATTAGACATGAGCAATTCATAACAGTAATAATATAAAACGTTAATGTGCTCTAAATCAAAAGTCACAAGCCCAAGAAAATTATTTAAAGCTCAAAAAAAAAAAAAAAATGATAAAGATATGAAACTACATAATTTCTTTTAAAAAGTTACTGCTACTTACAGGATTTACTTTACATGCCTGTTACCTCACTGTAATCAAGGGTAAGTAGCTAAATGAATATCATAAGTCTATGATTCTTTCCTCCTAATATACTTATTATATCAATAAGTATTTTAAAACATTGGCTGATGTTTGTATACCAAAAACACTCCCATAATAATTCTGGAGATACTTTAAGGTCAGAAGATTAAAAGTTGGACCTATTTTTGTGTCTCATTGAAGAATGACTCAACCATTTAAAGGTTGTCAGACACAAAATAACTATGTATAGTAACTAACAGGTGTGAGCACCTAATGAGATGGAATAGATTTTTTTTATTTCTATTTCTTTGGAAGTTTACTTCAGAAGGGTCAAATTCCCAGCATGACATAAGCTGGAAACCTCCATGCTAATGACTTCTGAGGACTGCTCCACCATGCATTAACAAGTGTTACATTCTGTCTGTGGCTTGAGTTAAATAGTCCACTGGTTCCTTCAAGTGCCATTTCCTTTTCCTGAGCAAAAGGTTCAAGTACAAGCATATGCTAAGATAAAAGCTTAACCCCACAGGGAGATAGCAAGCTAAACTGAGGATAATGCTATTTCTGTAGAAACAGTCTCAACAAACACACCATATAATAAGAGCATCCCCAAAAGCACTCAAGCTAGCAAGTAAAAATGAGAAGTTATCTTCAAAGAAGAATTATAAGGTAAGTAATTTTTCCTTCCTTAAAGGTATCACAGTTCTCATTACTAAACACTAAACAGCTTCTGGAAAAGCCAAAAAGAAAACAAAGAATAAATCTGTGCACCACATTTCACCTCCTGCTCCTGTAAGATGGTAAGAAGGATGGGGCAACTCTAACCTTCAGGTTCTTCTTACTTACCCTAACAGTGAGCTGAAAATCTTGAAACAATATTTGGGACCATACAGCAAGCAACCAGAAGGTTTTAAGGGTTTTTTTTTTCTTTTTAAAAAGGACAGCAAATAAATCTCCTGATGACCAGGAGATAATCAACACAGAAAAGCCTCACTGAAGTAAAAAAAAAAAAAAAAAAAGAGCCAGCTGAACAAAATCTAATTTCAAAACAAAGAACTACCCCAAATAAGTGAAAATGTAAAGTAGGAGAATTTGGCCTGTTTTGAAAAAAAAAAAAAAAAAAAAAAAGATACTACAGATGCAAACAAAACAAAAAACCCCAAAAGCCCTGGGAGCCAGTTCCTTCTCTAAGCACAAAATCCATGACATAGATAGTCTCTCACTGTAACATCCCAGCAAAAAATAATACAAGTTTTGCACAAGCTAGGTTACAGCAAAAAATTAATACCATCAAATCTGAATGGTCTCCAAGCCCTCTGAGGCCCGCTTCAAGAAAACCCTTATTGGCTTTAGATACAGAATATGAAAAACAGCACTAACGGGATGACCATATGACTGTTGAATGAATGAGATACACAAAGGTGGAGATAAAACTCAAATAAGTCCAGACCATCAGGACCATCACCCTATATTAATAAAATCTGGTATAAAAAGGTAGCTTGGTCAATAAACTCTAAAGATAATTTGTGAATCCAAATTACTACCAGTCAAATAACAACCAATAAATAAATAATAAAAAACAGCTCAACCAAAGAGGTGAATAGCTCAGGGGAGCAACCAAATGAAATTCATCAGCAAGCAGTCACAAATGAATAGGTAGGTAAAGGCACTGCTTCCCCATTCACGCTGCATGGAAGACAGAACATGTCACTGGTTGAAGTCTAATGGGAGTAGACCATCTCATATTGGAAGGCTGTGACTTGAGAGTGATCATACCTATGATCGTAGTAAATGAAATCTTTCAAGTTTTCCAATAAAAAAGTCAATGTCTTAAAAATGGAAAAAGTTCAAAAGGAGGTTTTTTTCACAAGTTTATATTTGTATATAGCATAAGGAACTTATTACAGAACTTTAGTTTTAAAAAGGTCTTTATCAATCCTGGTATTTTTGTATAAACACATGTATCCTAAAACTTTGAAAGACAACATCCATTTGTGTCAAACATTACAAAAATTCAACCATAGGCAGAAATCAATTGTGACCTTAACACACAATGAGAGCCTGAATACCAGTATATTAAACCATGATAGTGAGTCAGATTTGAAAGTACTGAAACTAAATTGATATTTGTAATGCTGCTTTTTTTTTTTTTTTTTTTTAGGACCTCTTACTGGTTATGTAGCCTTCACATGAAGTTAAAAGAAAAAATACATTACAAATGCTTCCTGCAAGCAAGTAGCAATATCTGTTTTCAGAACTGATTCCAAGCGTTATCTACTTACATGCACTCAATATACAGGTTTAAGAGTTTGCAGTGACACTTTATTTTCAGCATTTGAATACATGGTGGACACTCCCCAGGATGACATGGCAAGATGCATCGGTGAGGACAGCCAGGTGGTCGTGGTTTGGTACACTCCTCTTCACACTGCAGACATTCTGGACCTGCCTAAAACAACAACGATTTTCACTAAGCAGTAGATGACTGCTGATTGGACAACACTGGTCGACTCCCATATTTAGAAAAAGAAACTTGAGAAAAAAAAGACAGAATACACGAGCAAAACCATTTGCTTTTCTTCATCTGGTTAGCCCTTCAGAAAAATAAATACTAAACTATGCTTTAAAGAAAAGAATTGAAGGAATGCAATCAGTGGGAGGTCAGAGTCCTATATCCCCTCCTAGACAAAAAAAAAAAAAAATCCACTTCAATGTTAACACTGGATAACTGCCACTCAGCTTATTAATTCATTCCATATGAAGAACTACTTTAAATTTCCCTGGTTAAAATTTAAAAGTACTAAGTCAGGGGGTGGCATAATTTAGGTTACAACTATAAAATTTTACTTCTATTCTCTAGCAATACAGATTATCATGACATCACACTCTGAAATACAATATATTTATTTTCTACAAAAGCTTCAAATACACACACAACCACTTGCTGTATTTTCAACTGAATACACACACTGATTTGTATAACAGCCTGGCAAATACCGACTTAGTGCTAGATTTTAAAAGGTACTGGGTGCATCTACATGAGACACTAACTACACAGTAGCCTAATAACACTGTGTAGTAGCGTGCCAGGCAAAACCCATGCTATTAAGCAACAGCAAATTAATGAACGTGTAGATGCACCCACTGGGCGTCTATACATGCACTGGATCTGGGAGCAGTTCACTTGCAAGTAAACTACTCGTGAGTAAATGCTCCTGGGCAGGAGTCCACAAGTCCAGGGAGGCAGGAGCAGATTTTCTGCTAATGGCAACAAACTGCTTCTGCTTCCTGGGGCTCTGTAATGAGGGTGCTAGCCCAGGGTCTGGCAGGGAACACTGAGCCAGGAGACAGCCATCTCCTGACCAGGGCTGGGACACTGCTCCCTGCCCCCAGGCAGCTGCCTGCTGCCGGGGTAGGGGACAACATCCCCCTGCCCTGGCAGGAGGGAGCTCCTGCCCCCAGCTCCCTGATCAGGGGCAAGGGATTTGGAAAGAGCTGCAGGGGAGGGGCAGGTCCCAGCCTCCTGCCCCTATTTACCAGTGGGGCAGCTAGCAGCGAGCCCACAGCTGGGTGAGGAATCCCCACCAGCTAGCTGCCCCACTGGCAAATCAGGGCAGAGGGCTAGGACCGGCCCCACCCCTGCAGTTCTTTCCAGGCCCAGTGCCTCAATCGCCTGATCAGGGCATGTGGCTGGGACCTGCCCCGATGGGGACAGTTCTGAGTGATTGTGGGGTAGAGGCTGGAAAGCCTGTTCCCTGCTCAGCTCCACGATCATGCAACTGGGTGAGGAACAGGTTCCCCAGCCCTGCCAGCAGGAAGCTCCCAGCGCCAGCTCCACAACCACAGGGCCAGCACTAGGAGATCCTTATCTCCCAGCCTGAGCTCCCACTAGGTGCATCTACATGCAGCAAAGTCAACGGCTACAAGTGCACCAGTATTACAGCACAGTAAACTAATTAATTCTGCTGTAAGCACTGTCAGGGACAATACTGTATTATGAAGAACTATTTACTGCACTGAAATGCACATGTAGATGCTGACCAGGGGTGTAAATTGCTCCCAGTCAGCCCAGCCAGCCAGGGGCCTGCTCTGCCCCAGCTCAAACTGCTGCTGTCCCAGGCACACATGTAGACGCTGTGCCTGGGAGTACTTTACTCTGGCTCAAACTGCTTCAGAGTGTATTGCTTCGCATTAACTGCACGAGTAGATGCACCCACTAAGGTGCCTACCTGCCTTAGCCCAGTATTCCATTCTATATTCAAGAATACCAGTAAAGTTCCCAGCCCTGGTCTACAGGACAGTTCACTGCAAAGGAAAATTAAGTACATACATGCATCGTTCTGAAGATCTTTTAGGCCCCAATCCTGCAACCAGATTCACACAGATAAGCAGACCTGACTCATCACTGGAACTTTAAAGAGCACAGCACAAATATTTTTTGCACATGATCACAGCCCAATCCTCAACGATTCATAAATCAGTCAAAGCGAAAGCAAAGTTTCTCCCAAAGGTGTGTGCATCGCTCTTCCATTAGGGCTATTTCCATGACAAATTTCAACTCTCTGCGGCTTGGACTTTATGACTGTACAACTAAGCGCATAAGATTTTTTCTTCTCTTTTTAAATAGTAAAAGGTATATTTCATCCTGTTCTTACATAACTAATCTGTTTTTGGTAAAGTTTCTTTTAAAAGTGCCAGTTTTGCTTAAGCAAAAATTGTCACCCCAAAAAATTCCATTTCCAGAAAGCCAGAAGCAACTGTAAGTATAATGAAGACAATATCATAATTTAATCAAAGCATGTTAAGGCATAGAACAGAATAGATTTACACTATTCTTCTCCCCAGCAAAATGTGAAGAAAACTTAAATTTGTAATGGGAAGGTATTGTTCAGTTATAGAATATGTTTCTTGCATATTTTTCTTTCCTTTTTTTAAAAAGGCTGGTTTGTTAAATCTGCAGTTTAGTTTAATCTGCTAGATAAAACAAAATGTGTGTGCTGATGGTCAAGAATGATTTAAAAAATAAACCTGAGAAATGAATTACTGATATCCTACACCATTTGTAAGCTCTTTCGCAATAAAATTTTAAGCCATTTTGGAAGAAAAAACTATTACATTACATTAACTGAATGTGCATACACCAATAATATTATTGGATTAAAATGTTCTGTTTAGGACTAGGACAAAAAGACTCCATTTGAGACCTGGAGACCTTAAAGGTTAAATACTTTTTCTTGTGGCTGCTGTAACTAGGTTTAAAAATTATTCCAGTAGGGTTATTTACTTAGCAAATTCTAATCAACTTGAGCACAGAGTCAAGGAAACAGAGGTTCCAATGGTAAAGATAAATCTCATTACTGAAGGGTAGCTAGAGACACAGATATAAAGCAAAAAAAAAAAAAAAAAAAAAAATCAGTATTGCTTTCATTCACACATTCAATTTTTACATTTAGAAAGTGTGTCATTATGTTGTCAAACTTTTACATTAATATAGTTTTAAAATCACGTAAACTGTATTATGAAAGATTAATGAAAATTCACTTATTGTTTAACAGCATCCAATTGACAAAGGAATGATGCATTTACTTCTATTATTCTCAGAAGCTGGCACCTAGCATAGAGGTTTATTCTTATGGCCTCTAGCTAGCCATCAAGTATATTTCCTAACTGGCACTCCCTGTCTGCTGGCAGGTAGAATATTTGAGACGGACCTAAAGACATGAACGTGGAGTAAAAAAGGAAGGGTCTTCACCATGCATCACATGTAAATACATTCAGACTAAGGAACAGGTGATGCATGGTAAAGCTCCCCCACTCTTTTTTTACTCTGCAATAAATTGTTTTTATGTCTATACCTTCCACCTCACAAACCTAAAATGTAGTTAAAATGTAGTTGATAATGTGAAGTCAATTACTGGATTTCTCACCAAAAGATCAATTTGAAGCTGGACTAGTGAAACACAGGCCTGACCTCCACACATTTTAACCAGTGTAACTAGAAGGTGTTATTTTAAAACCGACTGGCCCATGTGTGAATGCTCATGAGTTTAGATCTGGCTCACATTGGTAACTTATTACTTGTAAGATAAAGTACTATAACCAGCTTGATACTAACAGAAATGTGTTCAAATAAAAGCCTGCATGGGTTTAATTAAACTTTTTAAAATAGTTTTTGGTCAAACTACATTTTGGGCATTGACAAGGTCTACACAGATTGTTTCTTAACAAGCACACAGTTGCAGATAACTAATCTGTACTTATTCCAAAAGGGAAGTAATGCTGAGAGAACTTCATGCACGCATAGTTTAAATTTTAGAATTATTTCTGAAGCATTTATAGTTCAGCCAGACCCAGATAAGGAAACAATGGAAGGATGAGTACATATCTTTACAATAATTTATTTAAGGTTGAAAGACAAAACTAAGCGAAAAGGAAAGATTGTATATAAAAAACGGGTATACTAGAGAATGGAAAAAAAATATCACCTTTATTGGCTTCCTCCTCTCCGCTACTTATATGCAATGAGTCCTACCCTTTACAGCCTCTGCCCCTCCTTGTTCTCCCTTCAATAATGCTAGCCTTCCTTCAAGAATGCTTCCAAAAGAATCCTCAAGCTTTTTCCATGCTGCTCAAAATAAAAATATTGCTTGGGTTTTAAGGAGCAACTGATAGGCATGCTCAAGAGTTCTGCTAGAACTGAGATTTACAGAGGGATCCTTCTAGTTTTGGACTGAGATACAAAATATAACTTTTGATCTAAAAGTTATACTCTGTATCCCAACTCTGTAGCTGCTCAATAAGCCAAATTTTCTGGATGTTCAAATAAAGGCAGACAATAAATAAAAAGAGAGCAAGTTTGTAATGCTCTCTCTTCATATTAACAACTGGTTCAAAGAAGTCACTGAAATTACTGTGAGCAACAGAAGCCTGTGCTTTTACTTCAATTGGAACTTTATACTGGCCATATCATTAATCTTCAACGTATTTGGAAGGTCCAAAAATTTGGACCTGGGCAGTTTCCAAAATCTTGCTTACAAAATACTTCATAAAAAGATCATCTAACAGATTGAAGCATTAAATGTAAGAATATTTCATGAAAAGTTCCCAAATCAAGATAAGATTCATGTTATCCTTGAGCTGAGTATGCCAACGTGAAGCTCGCTCTTCACCTTAGCAGTTTTCTATAAATTTCCAAGTAGTGCAACATTTCAAACAATTCTTTCTCCTCCAATTTCCACAAAAGAAGAAGAAAACCCTTGAAACAAGGATAGATAGATTCTGTGACCTTAGTTGCCTTTAGTGGCCACAATAAAGATGGTTTCCAGTGCTGCTACAAATGCTTTTGTGGACAGCAAACAGACTTGCAGCTCAAAACTAGGCAAGATAAGAGATCTTCTATAATCTCATCTTTGATTCGTTAGAACTTCAGCAACAGTCATCTTCTAACAGGGGTGGGCAACCTACAAACCTCAGATCAGATCCACACCACAGAAATGGGCTTCAGCAATGGGGGTTTTCCCAACGCTGCAGCAGGGAGAAGCAGCAGCAGCAATGACGACTTTCCCCATGCCATGGTTGGGAGAAAGAGTGATGGCGGTAGTGGAATGGCTAGAATTGACCTGAGCTAAGTCTCTTCAGCCTGGATTCTGAAAAGGTTGCCAAGTATAGTTTCACATAAATAATATGGTACTATAGGAATTTTTAAACGGTCTCTCTAATAAGACCTTTTGATAGATATTAACATGCAACACCAATGGTTTTTTGCAGATTCATTTTTCAATTCTCGCATGCTTCTAGTGATAACTGGAACTGAAATACCATTAAAGGGCTAACTGGCCTGCTTAAGTCCTGCATTGCAAGTGTAATCAGCAAGTAACTTCTTCAGATGGTAGTAGGAGATGCACATACGTACCATTCAAGATAAATCCAGATGTCTTAATAAGCAACATAATCCAAGTGAGCTTTAAGATTTTTGATTTTTACAATCTTCCTCCAAGGTCAAAAGAGGCTTTAATGAAAATACCCTAAATTACTATTTTAAATGTTAATAACAGGAAATAACACAGCCTAAATTTTGCAAAACATATCATTCAACAGAATTAAAACAAAGGCCACATACAGGCATTATGTTTCTATCATGAGAATCATCACTCTCCCAGCAGAAAATATGAGTATACAAGCCTTCATTCAATTTCTCCTGGGGGAAACAAGACACTTGAGAGATCTCCTTTGAGAAAAACTCTCTCATAAAAATGAATACCTGTACACTTCCCTCCTGGTCTGGTCCAGAAAGGGAGCAGAGCAGTGGGACAATGCTCCTTGTGCTTCCCTAGACTGTGAATCATCCTGGTCTGGGGAAGGTGTGGAGAACAAGGGGGTGGGGGGTAGGGAGTAAAAGAAAGAGAGGGGCAACTGACTGCACTGCTCCCTCTCCCAGACAAGATTTCTAATGGTAGAAATTTCTCAAAAGTTTCCACCACCAGAAATGAATGCCTGTTCAAGGCCAAAGTTTTAAGCGACTTACTTAAGGTTAAAATAGGAAAGTGGGAACAGAAAGTCCACTGGGATCTCCAATCAAAACCCTGAAACTGCAATAAAAAGGGAACCCTGCCTCAGTACACACACCTTACCTTCTGCTTGTCAGTGTTACCATTTACACTGGTAACTCTGTGACATTCTTTCACGCAGGTATGATTTTGACAGTCAAGGAGCCGTCCACAAAATCTTTTACAGGAGTAGGGTCCTACAGAGTGACACGGTAATGGACTCACCTAAAAGGTTTAAAAAAGGGGAAAAAAAAAAAACAGGGGACTTTAACGTGCATAACTTTGATCTCTTAACATTTTTGCCAAAACACTCTAACTTAAGAAAAAGTTCAAAATCAAATTTCTTTGAATGGGTTGTTTTTTCATTATGCCCATATCCGATGTATATTACATCCGAATGGTTTGCTTCTAAAAAAACAAGCCATCTATTTTTCTCAGATACTGAAAGGCCCAAAAAACTACTACTCCTACAAACTGAACTCCCATATTGCCTTCCTTCACAGCTATTATAAAGTTAATTGTTACTGTACCTTGGCAGGGATGTTGGAAGTGCAGTCATATTTAAGTCTGCCCCAGTTCTAGAATTAAACTACAGAATCTTCTTACACACACACACACACACACACACACACACACATCACTGAAGCCAGTAATATGTAAACACAGAATTTTAAAGTGTGCAACACCATAGAGAAAATGAAACAAACGTGCTCACCCACATTCAACAAGTCAGCAATATGGCTATAGAATTAGAATTTGAGCTCACCAAATTCTTGTCCTTTGCAAACACAATATGTTCATGCACAACACTCTGCAACACTGTTACCTATCCACTAAGAACTGAAAAGTAACGGTCACTTCACAAAGCGACCAACTGGTCACTTCATGCATACAACTTTTGTTTGTACAACATAGACAACTTTCAATCACCACTTTTGTCAAGGAGATAACAGCTAAGGATCATGGAGTTTATATTCCATTATAAATTTATACATGTTAGGGGCTGGAAGGGACCTCATGAGATCATTGGGTTCAGCCCCCCTGCACTTGGGCAGGAAAGACTGCTGGGGTCAGATGACCCCAGTAAGGTTTGCATCAAGTTATTTTTTTAAAGATCTCCAGGGTAAGTGATTGTACCACCTCTGGAGGGAGTCTGTTCCAGACCCTAAGCACTCGAATTGTAAATCATATCTATTCACTTATGTGGTGGGGGGCAGAGGGGGTGGGGCACATTAGAGAGTAAATGGCTCAGAGAAGATCAAGCTTTCATGGTAAACAGCCTACTCATCAAATGTTAGCAGACAAAGTAGGTTGTAACTTATGAAAGATTATGCCTAGCTAAACTAGTTAATAGGGGTGTGGCAAAACAGGCTGTATTCAATTCAGATTCAGCCCGAATCGGGGACAGTGATTCGATTACTTGCTTCGGATCACTGTCCCAATTCGATTCAGCCGAATCCAAATCTAAAGATTCAATGCCGATTCAGAGAATTAGCAATTCAGCCATAGACACAGCTTTATATGTTTTTTCTACATACCTCAAGGTCCCAGGCATGGCTCGTGAATGCTGAGATGGGGGGAAGGGGGAGAAATGGAGTGTCCCACAGGAGTGCACTTGGGGGGCCCCCTGCACCCCAGCAGACCCAGAAGTAGACTAGAAGCTTCCCCAGACCTAGGAGGCACCAGCCGCTGAGCCGGGGGGGGGCCTTCGCACTCTCCAGCAGACCAAGAAGTGGACCAGAAGTGCTTCTGGTCCACTTCCAGTCTGCTGTCGAGTGTGCTGGGGACCCCCCCACGCTCCTATGGGACGCTCCATCTGCCCCAGCATTGCAGCATTCATGAGCTGCCTGATACCTTGAGGTATGTACAAAAAACATTTAAAGCCGTGTCTGCGTCAAATTATCAAATCTTTCCAAATCTATTTGGAGGGTTCCGATTCGATTCAGTGAGATTAAAGGGTCTCCTGACTTGATTCGGAGATTCAGCCATCGAATCAGGCCGAATCGAATCAGCAACCGAAGCTTTGCACAGCCCTATGAGTTAAGTCTCTAAGGTTCCACCATGCCCTGCCCTATGCCTGACTTACACCTGACACAGCTAACCCCCTATGAAAGTCCCACCCCCAAACAACTAGGGTCTCTAGTCCCACCCCCAAATACCATTTCAACTGTGTGTAAAATGGTGCTTGCAGAAGCTTTATGCGACACTGTGAAATCTGGTGATAGTGCCTACTGTCACTGGGCAGATTGGAGACCGAACTGAAGACATTCTAAACAAGGAAAGCACCTAAAGGGGAAGGAGGTGATCAGGAACAGCCAACTTGGATTCACCAAGAGCAAGTCATGCCTGGTTCACAGTTAGGTCTCTGCTTAAGATGTAAATCTGTTACTGACTGGAGGGCCTAGCTCCCCTTCCTCACAGCAAATCCACAAGGATCCATTTGCCTTGCCATTTAACACCCAAGCGGGGTGCTAGTTCTCAGTGATTACTTCTCTTCCATCTGTTAGGCTTTGAGCCTCTCCCAAGCAAATGATACTCATCATTTAGGGAGCGAGACTTGAGAATCATATCATATTATGCACATATTATAACATGTAAGAAATGCCTTTTATATCAAGTACTAGAATGCATTTAAACATCAGGATGATATGGTTGAATATAGCTTAACATCACTTATCCACTGAGATCACACATGCCATATCAAGTTAAAAGCAAAAAAAACCCCAAGAAAACATGCATGACATCTCACAAACTCCACAAAATGTTATGGGATAACAGGCACCGAGTTGGGTGGAGTTGCAGACAATCAGGAGGGTAGAGCCAGAATCCAGAACGAGCTGGATAAACTGAAGAAATGGTACAAAAATCAATTAGATTAAATTCAACAAGGACAAATCCAGAGGCCTGCAGTTGGCACAACATAATTGCATGCACAAATACAGACAAGGAAAGAACTACCTAGGCTGTAGTACTGTGGAGAAGGACCTGGCGGTTACAGTGGATCATAAATGGAATATGAGCCGATGGCATGCTCATTACAAAAAAGCCATCATCATACTGGGCTGTATTAATAAGCGTGTCTCTTGCAAATCAAAGGAAGTGTTTCCTCTGCTCTGCTCCACACTGAAGAGGCCACACCTGGAGTACTGTGTCCAGTTTTGGGCTCTACACATGAAGAAAAATGTGGACAGATTAGAAGTCGGAGAGAGTGAACAAAAATTATTACAGACCTAAGAAGCATGACTTATGAAGAAAGGATAAAAGAACTAAGTTCTGTAGTCTGGAGAACAGAAGCTTGGGGGAAGATTTGAAAACAGGGTGCTGACAGACACTGGGGATGGAAAAACCTTCAAAGGAAAAGAAAAAAAAAAAAAGGCTTTACGGGAAGCAGCAGCTCGTTAGTTACACCTGGCTCCGCCATGTCTATATAGGTCGGGCCCTTCAGCAGGGCTTTTTGGTGCTTTTAACTAAAGCTGATTCCATCAGCAATTACATAATTAGAAAGAAGTGCCATAAAAGACCTGCTGACACATCCTATCTATACAGACCTCGGGCAAGTCGGGTCCAACTAACATGATGCCTCTTCTGGCCATGCACTAGGCTTAGTGCAGGGGCACGTGGAGTTTATAGTAAAAAACTGTTTTGTTTTTTTACATCTGTAAGCAACCATGGTCTTCAAATCCCTGAGAGGTGATTATAAAGGAGGATGGAGACAGACTTTTCTCTGTGGCTGCAGAGGAAAGAACTAAGAGCAATGGTCACAACCTGCAGCAGAGGTAATTTGGGTTTGAGATCAGAAATAAATTTCTGACTATGAGGTTGGTCAAACACTGGAGCAGGCTACCTACAAAAGTTGTGGAATCTCCATCTCTGAGAAAATTTCAAAAGCAGGCCTTTACCTGGGATGGTTTTCAAAAGCAGGCCTTTGCAGGCTTTAGACAGGCCTTTGCCTGGGATGGTTTAGTTAGAGACGATTCTGCCATGGGCATGGGACTGGGCTAGATAACCTTATGAGGTTCCTTTCAGCCCCTACCTTTCCCATGATCCTATGAAAGTGAGGAATGCTCTGCTTAATGTTGGGTACAAGTTAATAGCCAGGACAAGAAACAGAACAGCTTAAAGAAAGCATTCTGCCACAGGAATAATCTAATGGCTGGAAGATAACCTCACTTCTACTGTTGCAAGGATGATGCTTAAAAAGTTTATAGCTTCAAGGAAGCTGATGGAGTATAAAAAGAAGAAAGCTGATGAGAGTGGGAGGTTGTTTCTAGAAAATAGGTGGGTACAGAAAACAGCAAAGCCCGGTATTTTAAATAAAGATCTACCAGAAGTAGATGGCACAATAATCGGACTAAAAAGGAAGGAAGGAAGACTTTCAATTTCAGAAGCTCATCCCCATCTTCCTTACATGGAAAGCAAATTTGATAGCTGCAGCAGAGCATCTAAAAGACTTGCCTGGAACTGGAAGTAAAACCAAATGCAAAAATATGCAGGAAAAGTAAACGCTAAGTATAATAAAGTATGTAAGCAATGGAAGAGGGTTTTTAACAGTAGTATCTAGTTAATGTTAAGTAAGTAAATAGAACTCCGTATCAGAGTAAAAGTAATTCAAGGTAAAAAAATAAAATAAAATAAAATAAAAAAATAATAATAACCACATTTTTTTTTTAAAGATGACATAAAAGAACTAACAAACAAAGCCATTTCAGAATGATACTTTCTTTGCCTTTGTAAACTGTCTTTAGACAATTTCCAAAAATTGAAGACTAAGGAAAGAGCAATATGCTAGGGCTCAAGACCTAAAGATCCAGAACAGTTTCACATGAACTATGAATAAAAGCATAGTTGTTTTTGTTCATACAAGGGGAAAAAAATTAAAAATAACTATATTTTACAGGGAAAACTGGACTCTGAAATACCCATTACTGAAATAAAAGCTAACTTACAAAACAAATAAAACACTTTTAGTAGTTATTTACTGTTTTTAATGTTTAATGAACTGGAAAAACCAAAAACTGGACTACCAATTTTTAAAAGATGTGTTTAAGTAACTTGCATAAATCTCTAGTTATAACCTGGGATAAACAGGAAAACACGGATTTTTCTCCGTTAAAGGAGAAAACCGCAGGTTTCCCCTTGCAGGCTGGCAGCCTTCCAGCCTTAAAGGGGCTGCTTGGGGCTGGGGGCAGCAGGAGGAAGGTGACTGGAGGCAGGAAGCACTCCATGTGTGTACCAGTGGCCAACATACAGCCAGGCAGGGGGGTTGGAGCAGCCCCAGCAGCTGGATGCTATGGGGGGATGGGGGCAGGAGTTGGAGGGCCAGGGCTTCAGGACAGTCTGGGGGGCAGAGGTGTATGGGGGGTTCCTGCTGGCACTGGGGGAAGAAGTCCAGGCACTGGGGCTGCAGCAGGGTAGGGGGCCTGAGGCAGCACTTGGTACAACTGGCAAGCCCAGCTCCACAGCAGGGGAAGGGGGTGGGAGTCCTTCGGGGGAGACGTGGAGCTTTGTGACAAGCAGCAGGTGGTGCACCACACACTGCCCCACAACACTGGCTGGGAGCGGTGTGGTGCAGTGCGGTGGGGAGGACTAGAAGAGCAGCATGAAGCCAAGTGTGGCTCTGGCCCAGGCCATTCTGACAGCACCTGGAGGAGGGAAAGGGGCTCTAGGCAGTCTTTGTTCTGCTCGTGGTGGCTGCCACTCGTGCAGGTAGTAGCAGACCGAGTAGCAGACCAAGTCTGGCCCTGGCTGGAGGGAGGAGGAGGGAATGTCTGTAACACTCCCTGGCCTGAGCTGGAGCTCACATGCTGTGCCAAGCAGCCTGGCCATGGCCCCCATCTTCTGACCGTGCGCAGACACCCCTGCCCCCAAAAACCTTGGGCACCAGCTCCCTGTGCCACCCCCAAAGGAGTCCCTCCAACTCCCTCCCTGCCACCCCCAAAGGAGTACTTGTGAGACCAGGCAGGGTTGGGAGGCAGTTTGAGGCCCCCTCCAACAGGGCTGGGGTAGGACAGGGGGCTGCAGGTAGGGAGTTAAGGGCACCAGAAAGCATGTGGGCTGGGAGTGATGGGCACTGGCAGGGCTGGGGGGCTGTGGCTTGGGAGTGAGGGGCACCAATGCAGGCAGGGACAGGGTACTGATATATCAAGGCTGCTCAGCACCACGAAACCTGGACCTGTGCGCTGGTGAGTGAAGGAAGCAGGGGGAGCTCTAATTTTCCATGATAAAAAAACCCAGAATCAAACACCAAAATATATAGGTATTTAACATTTAATTTATTTTAACAACTGAAGCATTGGTACTGAAACTGCTTTAAAACTGTAAATATATCAATAAAACATTGTCTTCAGCTGCTACCTATATATAGCGGCATTTCATTTTAATCATGGATAAACCTGGATTTGGGGTTTTTTAATTTAAAAAAAAAAAAAAAAATTGGGATTTTTTTATTAGAGAATTTGAAGTTTTTTAACAGAGAAAACCAGGATCCCTGGTTATGACAAATTTAGACAGTAACGATTAAACCCTTGCAATTTTGGTACTTTCTGGATAGCCAGCCAAACAAATGCCTTGAAGGAATGAAGCACATCTTTAAACCTTGATTAAATGTGTGTCACTGAGATACTATGATAGCATTTTGAAATTACGTTTGCGTGACTGATATATGGACTATTCAAATATTAATGTAACCAAAGTAATTGACAAATTAAATCTATCTGAAGACATATATGAAACTTCTAAACCAAGTCTGGAATGAAAATTAAAAGGTCAAACCATTTAACACCAGGAAGTATAACAGGCACCAAATATGCAAGATATATGAGATCTGATACTCTGGTTAAAGGTATTCTTGGCTTTGTTTCCAGTTGCAGCATGCAGACTTTAATTAAGGCATCCCAAAAGGACAGACTTCGAACAAACTATTATTAATTTTCCAGATTCAACCATCAAATGACCTTAAGACAACACATACATCATGCTACACCTATGAGATATGAATTTTTATACCAGTCCAAAGCTAAAAGCAAACAACAAGACACGAGAGCTTTGATTCTGGATGGCAACTATGATTTGTTAGGTGATTTTATTACTAGATTATAACCTGATGATTAAAATTGGAATGCAGCTTTGGGCTTCTATAAGCCTCAACATGAAATATCTGTTAATTGTTCTTCCTGTATTTTAAGACATAAAAATTATAGGAAATTAAGTAATTTAAAAGGTAACACTAAGAACAAAGTTGCAAATGTTTAGACTAATATTCCATTATAGCCCAGAGGAAATCTTAATTTAAACTTCAGACTCGGATATTGCTGTATTCATATAATTTGGAAGTAATACTGGTAAAATTGGCTGTCCCAGGTGATGGAGCATTTACTGCATATATGCAAAAATATGCAAAGTATATACACACCAGTTCCTCAAATAATTATAAAGGAAATGCTAAATTGAAATAAAAAAAGAAAGCATCTATACTAGAGCTTAACATCCAAATAAAAATAATAACTTAAATCCTAAATATGAAAAATCTAGTTTTGATAGCAGAAGCATACAACTGTCAAACAATTTTTCATCATCTTTCTTACACATCTGGGGGGAGACATCATTTATTTAAAGACACAAAGAATCTACAATATGTGGGGTGGTTGTTTTGTTTTTAATTTTTTTACTTGAAAAACCCACTAGTACAATAATAATAAGGTGCTAGAGCATGTGCTAGAAAGAACTTATGTATTCTGAATGACACCAGTAGATTGGATTTGAGCTTCTATTGCTGATGGATGCTAGCGTGATAGCAAAGTATTACAAATACAGGCATCAAGTGTATTTGTTTAAATTCCAAAAATAACTCATCTGAATATTTAATGTACTAATATACATCAGAAATACAAAAACTGATATTCCAGATAACAGTCTACTTTCTCCTCTTTCTGTGAACCATTTCAAAGTTTAAGGTACTGCCAAAAGAAAACACTGCACTCTGCTGGTTGCAAGAGTGCAGATTTCATCCACAAGAGTATATGGTACAAAAGCATACAAAGCATTAAAATTTCAGTACAAGGACACCCATCACTCCAATGCTCACTGTGGCTTATTTTAGCCTGGGCTACAGTCGGAAGTCCATTGTGACCTGAATGTCACTATTACTAGAGCAGCGGTAGGCAATGTTTTTGGCTGGAGTACCTTAAAACCCACGATGTCTACCTTGTGAGGTGCGGGAGTACCAGCTTATCAAAAAAACAAAACTCTGGAGAGCCCAGAGCAGCAATTTAAAAAAAATAATTTTTTAAACAATTTCCTTGCACAGCTCATGCAGAGTCCCCCACAATTATGACAGATAACCTAAAAATTTAAGATCTCAATTTTCTCATTTTAAAGGGTCTCTTGTTATTGAACACATTTATCCAAAACCAGTCGGACAAATTGGTAAAGCCTGCAACAAAAACACAACATCAATGAAACATAAGGACTTACTTTCTCAACACCCCTATTCTAAGAAATAGGGAATGGATAGCAGTTATCCAGAGAAGTACAAGATAAAGAGAAAGGTAACATTGCTTATATAACAGGACAAAAACAAAGTTCCAAGTTAAATGAACCAGACAAGATGCAATCAAATACACTTGATAATTGTAAGTGGGTTGGCATACCTCTTGACTTGAGCATTGGCTTTGCTCTCTCGGGAGCTCCTCAGTATACACAGTCCTTGTACTAAGCAAGCAAACACATTTTTCAGCCTTTCTCCAGGTGGTAGGAGAGGACCTTCTGCTCTTACCTGTTCCTGGTAGCAAGCTTATAAGGGTTCTAGTCTGCCTCCTGACCACAAACTGCTCCTTCCTACAGCTTGCCCCCTCTGCTCACTCCTCTGGGGTTTTAATTGCTAGTGGGAATACTCCCTCATTACTTAACCAGCTACAGCTGGATTTCTACAACACAGCTGTCTGCTCCCTCATAAAGGGCCACACAACCCTGCTACAGTAACCCAAGCATTTCATCAAAAGACCAAAATATATAAAATGTGTTTTCGTAAGTCAAGAGTTTAAACTTTATTCAAATGTAGATTGTTTGATCAATATTGTAAATTTTCTAGTATGGTGCTTTAATATTGTCCTAAAATAACTAACAGCACTCATATAAAAGCACTTCATGGATCATAATATACACCCAATTAAAATATTTGCTTTTGCCAAAACATGCCACATTAATATACCTCCTAAGAGTTTCTTTTTTTTTTTTTTTAATCTCTTAAAGCAGAGTTGCCCATCTCCTCAAAAATCAGGTACTGTGGAGGAAAAGGGAGGAACCACACGCTATGCAGACTTCATAGGCCCACCCACTTGCCACGTGGATTTCCCCAGAACATGGGCTGCATAAGCTCTGCCTCCAGGGGCAAGAAAAACAGAAGCCAGAGGAAGGAGGGAAAGCCCAGAAATACAGCGGCAGAAGTAGGGGTGGAGGGAGTGGCAGCTGATAAGAGGCTGCAGGCAACAAGTTAACCACCCACTGGCTGCACAAGGGTCATGAGCTGCAAGTTGGATAGCCCCATTTTAAAGAGGCAAAACAAAATAAGATGCATTTGTCATGATCATCTCTCTGACTCACCTCATGCTGCCCAAAACACTCCCTGTAAAGGGGGAAAAAAGAGAGAGAAAACCAAAAAAGCATTTAAAATACAGTCCTTAAAGTAATAAGTATCCAAAGATGCATATTCAATTCCCATAATCAAACCTGAACTAGCTCAGTACATGCTAGCGCCCGATCAGAAAGTAGCATCACTGTAAAGGCATTCTGTTGCACTCAGCTAGGCAGCTCAACTTTTCTGAGTAACTACACTGCTTCTGGTTCAGGAGCTAGCATGCACAGATGTAGTTGGTGTACATCTGGCCAACACTGAACTGTACTGTGTAAGACCAGGGGTGGGCAAAATGCGGCCCGGCAGCCGGATGCAGCCCACCAGACCATTCTATCTGGCCTGTGGGGCCCCTAAAAAATTTAGAAAATTAATATTAATCTGCCCTGGGCTGCCTGTCATGCGGCCCTCGATGGTTTGCCAAAACTCAGTAAGCGGCCCTCTGCTCAAAATAACTGCCCGCCCCGGTGTAGATATACACTAAAACAGTATCAGTGTTTTACTGCAGAACAAATATCAACCGATTCATAAATGTGAGCCAAATTCAGAATGCTTCCATTATTGCTGCACAACATTTTTGTATTTCATTCCAATTATCTTAAAATTTAACATTCACTCAGACACAGAAACCTCCCTAGATTTTATCTACATCAATAGGAGTGACCATACATTTTAGTAAAGGTGTGCCTTAATGCAGCTACTTTAGTTCTTTCCTAACTTTTCCTTTCAGCAATATTCCCACCAGGAAAAACATGCACCACCACATGCTGGTCAGAATACAAGTCCACATCTAAGCCTCTCTTGTAGCACAGCCAATTAAGACACCTCCTAAATGTTCTAAAATGTTCCTTCACCTCCTAAATGTTCAAAATCCCCCCAAGTCAGTATCTTGGTCTTTCCAATCCCAGCGTCAGTAGCACAAGCATGACCTAACAAATTCATAATGGAATAATGAAAGTCTGGCCTGAATAAAGATTTTGGATGCAAGTGCTTAAATAAGTGTAATGATTAACAAAACTAAGTTGACTGGGCAAGAGGCAAGGTTTTTGTGATATTTTTTGGACCACCTGTATAGTTGGAAGATCTGTTAGACAAGCTTTCAGGCAGCAAATGTCCTCTGTGTAGAGGCTTTGCATTTGCATGGAGACTTTCCTTTGAATTTTAGCTCAGCTTACATCTGCCTTTTTATTAGACCTGAGGAAAGGCACTTGATGCCCAAAAAAGCTCTCCCAACTATAGTTAGTCCAATAAAAGATATCACAAAAAGCCTTACCTCTCATATTTCCTGGACCATCACAACTACAAAAATCACTCCAACCCTACATTAACTGGGCAGCAATTTTCCATACTCTCCTTAACTTCCCATAAAAATGAGTAGTACTACATTTTTCCTCAGCCTTCTCCCTAGCCTCTCATGTTCAAAATATCCAAGCCTCATCAACAGAACAGCACCTGCCAAGCATTTCTAAACAAGTCTATAAAAATACACTGTGGAATAAAAAGGTTAATATTGTTTAAAGAATTATCCATTTAACCTCTTATAATTATGGTGGTTAAATGGTTAACTGATAACAAAGCAGAATATGGCAGCTCAGACATACCTGCTGCTGGGGGGGTGGTCTCTTTAGGTGTGGGGGGGAGGAGGAGGGGAAGGAAGTGGCAGTGGCAAGCCCAGCCAGACAACACAAGCCACATGCTGGGAGGAAGAGAGCACCTGTGAGCCTGCAGCTAATTGCTTAATTGATGAGTCATTAGGCCCCCTGCAACTTCCCTCTTTAACTTCAGGCTATGAGTACTATTTCCCTCGCTGCCCCTCCTCCTCCTCCCTCCCCTGACACCTGCCTTCCAGTTCCTGCTTGAGTAATGCATGGCTTCCCTTCCCCCACCTCATTGCCAGGCTAAACAATAACTGGTAAGTTGACTGGTTATGACTGGGCTTATCAGTTAAACAATTAATTGTTTAACTTTTCACATCCCTACTGTAGAAGCCCACTGACAATGTGCATCTGATCCTCTTCTAGTGCTCTAGACCACATAAAGGATAGCAACTCACCACTGCAAACAATTCACTCATTAATTGAGGTTGCAGAGGTCTGTGCAGTGCATATAAAAGGTTCCAGCCCTGATGATGACCTATATGACTATCAATATGATACCACTATGGAATAGTTGATGTTCAGTTTGCTTTTTTAAAAACTTAGGCTTAGTGTGTATATGACTTCCTATGTCAAAAGTATATTTCACATTCAGTCCTAACGTTACAAAGATGAGCACTTGAAGGTTAGGAAAATCCAGAATTAAGGCTGCCTGTACAACCTTAAATATCCCGTGCATATATTAATAATGATACAATCTAGTCACATGATCACTTACACTTTTTTCAAGAGGGTCCTTACCTCATTCAGTGCACAGGATGAATCTACACTGACATCAGATCAGAGCGGTGTAGTATAAGGGATTTCTCTGTATTACCTCTGCATTCTTTACTACAGAAGTAGGAAGATGTATTGGAAATAAGACCTGACATTGACATAAGATTAAAGATAGCTTCAAACAGAATCCAGTTCTAAGAGGCAGTATTTATGACTGCCTACTAGTTCCTACACAGTTATAGGCAAGTCACTTAAAGCAAGCTTTTCACAGATGGTCACTAATTGCATGCTTCTGATTCTGAGTGCTTGACTTGACTTTTGGTACTCATGTGCAGGAGTATGTAGAGGCACCTACAGCCAGTAGTAGTTGTTCCTGAAACATAGGAAGTGCTAGCTATAATATCATAGGAATCTGAAGTGCCATACTGGGTCAGATGAATGGTCCATCTACCTCAGTATCTTGTCTCTAACAATAGCAAGAGCAGATGCTTTAGAGGGAGAGCACTGAACAAAGGATGTCTAAAGTGATCCATCCCCTGTCTATTACTCACTCTAGAATACATGATGGGATGCCAAAGAAGTGCATCCTAAACATCCCCAAATCAGCCCACAAAATTAACAGATATATTTGATCATCTTTCTGCACCTTGGTTTCCCCACCTGGAGAACAGAGATGGAATCATAGAAAAATTAGGGTTGATAATTTAAATAAGATAATCCCCCTTCATCTCACAAGGATGTTTTCAAAATACATTCCTCAACGTTAGCCCAACTGAGACCCTATAGTGACGAGAAGCACAGAAAAACTCATGAGAAAATTAATGGTTCTTCAAAGCAGGGGCTATATAATGTGGTAAGAAAATGAAGCATGGGGTCACTTGCCAAACAATAAGGAACATGTTAAAGAGATGCTCATTAAATGACCACGATCCAACCTGTGCAAAGAATGAGGCAGAGGTCCCTGTGGAAAAAATCATATGCATTCATGAAATAAAAAATTATCAAAATACACAAGCAGGGAGCCAAAAATGCTTGGCAGCATTTCCTTACTTTTGAGTGATTAGGTTCGCAGCCAAATGTTCTCTTAATGTAATTTGTGTGTGCACGTAAATTTTTATTTCCCATTAGCCCCTTGATAAACTAAGCATACATTTCTATAATGCCTGCTGCTAAAAGAAATTCCCTGCCTTCAGGGAATATTCTATTTTCATTAAAAAATAGACAAGCCTAAAAAACAAGATTCTGATGAAATTTTCTATGACAAAAAGCAGTGCATTCACATGCAACAAATTTGATTCACTGTCCCTTGATTCACTATGCAAACAAAACTTGTTTGCATACTTACATAGGTATAGGCACCTGACATGGGGGGCAAGGTAATGCAGTCTGAATAAAAGCTGGTTCAGATGGCTGTTCCCAAGGTCCCACAGGCTGATGCTAGGAACAAAACAGATAGTACATGTCCATCTATTAAAGAATTAGATCACTTGAACTTTTAACAAAACTAAAACCATCTGCTTAGCTAAAAATATCTGCAACATTTGGTAAGATCCAAGTTTTATTTGGTCTTATTAGTCTACTTTTCTTTTAACTGAAGAAATTGTACTTACTAGACAGAAAGGCAATGCAAAGGAGAACTATAATTTCATTTTTGATACAGCTAAGAATAGGAACTAAAGCCAAATGGCTTTATATAGCACCTTTAATCACTCATCAATCCTCAAATGCATCTTTCTCCTTAAGGTGTTCAGATGACCAGTATAAGAAACACATTAGAGGCCCTAGCATAAGTGCCTCTATCTTGCATACATCTTCCACTGTATAAAGATCGGAAATGTATGTTGTTGCTGTAAATAAGTTCTGGGTTAAGTGTGGCTAAAGCAGAAGGTCCGAAAAGCCTGTTTAAGCGACCACAATGTGAACCTTTGCAGACAATTAGTTTGGTCAGCAAAGGGAAGAAAGCAACTAACATGCCCAGCTAAACCAGATCAGATGCTTACCAAGCCAGTTTGCTTCACAAGGGCTTCATCATGACAAGACACAGGACAAAAGTGACCACACTTTAATCCCTTCTGGCAGGGCTGACGACATGGAGGGCATGGGCCAAAGTGACAATTGTGTTTCTCTTGGCTAGGATGATGGCAGGTAGGCAGCCGACTAAAGTAAAAATCCAAGAATGAATGCAACTTTGTGAAATACCAAATTACGTTAATTGAGCATTTGTGTCTGTTGACATACGTCTATTACATTTAGACCCAAAGTAGAGATATATTCACATATGACCGGACAAAGAGCCAAGGTTCTTCTTTCCTTCCAATCCTGAACTGATAAAGAAAGAGGTCAAATAAAACTGAGTTAAGACAGTCTGTAGATGGGCCTGCTAGTGAGCTGGCTCAAATGTATATTCACATCAAATCTATTTTCCCCACACTCTACACAAATCCTGCCTCTGCCAGGATAAAAGATTTCAAACCATTCATTATTAAACATATACAAGTTTTATCTCATTCACAACAATTTAGAAAGTTTTACAATTGTTTTGATATTACATCTTGCTGATCTTTGAGCAAAAAGAAAACTACCAGTATTCCACATTTTTCAAATATATCAGTCTACTAATCATGAATATTTTCTAGATGAAGATTTGAGATCTCTACTTCAAAGGTATCTAAAGGCAGCAATACAGTCTTCTCTATATAGATAATAACCATTTTATGAACATGTATTTGTTTACACCTGAAATCTCTACCTTCCCATTAGGTCAAAATCTTCTGCAAGGCATTACAAGATCTCTTCCTTACAGTACTTACTACTCATGACATTTCCCAAACAAGTTAATGAGAGGTAAGCTAGGGTGCAAATTTACAGCGCACCAGCTCTTCCACAATAACTGCCTTTGTTCATCCTCTTACTCACAGGTTGGTACCTTGAGTCTGTCTTCTGTACTAACCTGCACAACTCTCTGCATCTGGGAGGTTTGGTGGTACGTTCTCTGCCACATGGTACCTTTAAAACAGTTTTGCTGCAATTGCATTTCACATCTACTGTTTCTGGACATGGGTAGCAACTACCTGAAACAAATATTAATAAAATGAGAGTCTGAATTAGGCACTGGTTCTGAAAATAATAATTAGCATAATTCTAACTTTTGTAACCTTTGTAACTCAACTGTTTTCTTTACTTTCTTTGAAGAACCATCTGAAGTTACATTTATATCTTAGCCAATTCAAAGTTTCAAGTACATGCTTGGGCAAATTCAAAATTCTGAAACAACATTAAATTGGGCTAAAGGATGTCATCCTCCCACTCTACTCAGCCCTGGTGAGACCGCAACTGGAGTACTGTGTCCAGTTCTGGGTGCTGCACTTCAAGAAGGATGTGGAAAAGCTTGAGAGAGTCCAAAAGAGGACCACACGCATGATTAGAGGCCTGGAGACCAAGACGTATGAGGAGAGGCTGAGGGACTTAGGACTGTTTAGCCTGGAGAAGAGAAGACTCAGGGGGGACTTGGTGGCAGCCTATAAACATATCAGGGGTGTACATTAGTGCTTTGGGGAGCAACTCTTCACCAAGGCCCCCATTGGAGGACAAGAAATAATGGGCACAAACTGACTGAAGATCACTTCAGACTAGGCATAAGGAAAAACTTATTTACAAGTTGAGTGCCAAAGGTTTGAAACAGGCTCCCCCCAGAGGTGATAGTCATCTGCCTTGGTGATCTTCAAAAAACATCTTGACACCCATCTTGCTGGGGTCATCTGATCCCAGCAGTCTTTCCTGCTCAATGATCTGTAAGGTCCCTTCCAGCCCCGAACAACTATGAAACTCTGAAACTATTCTACAGCTGCATAGCTGCTATACCAGTCAGACATAGTCCAACTTGTATTTTTAAAATGTAAGGCAGTATCAAAAGACAAGTCACCCAAACCAAAAGGCACTTGCATAACGTCATTTCTATTTCACAATGTCACATGCATCTGAAAACAGATCATAATTCTTCAATTTCTGAAATGTCAAAATAAAGAGCATCAATTTTCTGACATTTGTAAATACTATTTTACAGCTTTTATCCAGCTTGACCCAAAGCAGATTCGGCATTTAACTGTCCAACAGCCGATAAGATGCTCCTTTTTCACATAAATTCTCCTCCTCTTTAAATTTTTCATGCTGGGAAGTCTCATACATTTCAAAAGTTAAGGTTGAGATCAGCACAGATTAAAATACATGTTAACAGGTTAACATTTTTATTTGTTTTCTATTTACAGCTCCTCTGCTCATTCTGTTTCTTCATCAGGTACCAAATGTTAAGCTTCATTACTGAGCAACTGCTAACATCAATTATTTAAGAAAGCAGATTAAAGACAAGAGAACTCAAGTTTTCATTCAACAGCTATCGTATGCCTCGTTAAAATTATTTTCAAAGGTTTACTTTAAAAGCATTAATGTTAGTAAAACTTTATAGATAACCTTGGCTTTTTGAATGGTACCTGGGATAATGTTTCTAGAATCAGGAGTCCTCTCACTGATAGGATATTCAAATACCCAGGCTTTCATACTTTTATATTACCATGTTTTCTGGTGTTTTTTGTTTTGCTTTTTTATAAAAGAAGACACTCTATCAAACTGTCTAAATATGAACAAAGTTCTATTTAAATAATGAACATGAATGGAAATAACTGCCTGCATTCCTACAAAAATCAAACAGACATTTCTGTCAAGTGTTGAAGAAAAACCAATAAGCAATGCCATGATAATATACTGAACTACTCTGCCAAAGTTTTCTACTCT